ACGGGGACAGATTATTCTGCAAAGAGGGCTGTGATGAGAACGAGTTTCCTCCTCTCCCACTGCTAGTGAAATGGTATCACTTACTGAAGGGGAGAGGAAATAAATCAGCAATATATCCATAAGATTCTTCCCAAATGGTAAGTTACAGAGCAAATATCATTCCAAAAAATACCCTCACACAATATGAGATTTGTCTTCCTTACTCTGTGCTTAAACATATTATAATAATTTGATATTATATAATTTTATATAATTAATTGATATAATATTAATTAATTAATATATTAATATATAATTAATATATTAATATAATATAATAAATTAATATAATTTTTATATAATATTATATAATTTAATATTATTTGTTGAGTGATGGTACTATGGTACCACCGTATATAGTACCAGTGATGGTACTATGTACAATTACCATTCAAAATATTTTACATGGATTATCTCATTTAATTTTCATTTTTCTATTTTATAGACATAGAAACTGAGTACTAAATTACCTTTACAATTTTTCACTTAAAAAAATAATGAAAATTGGGGTCATAAAAATGGATTGGACAATATGAACTTCATAGTCTAGGTCTAGTTGGATAACTAAAGTCATTTCTCAGTAAAGGGCATCTCCCAGACCACGGAGGGCAAGGATTTTTATGAGAGTCTAGGGAGCAGAAATGAAACCAGGAAAAAATCAGGGACAAATTCATGATGGCACTGTCCAAATTTCCATAAGGCAGTGAAAGCTGAATACTCAAATTAAGGTTCTTGGTCTTAAAGTTGGGTCTTATCCATCTTTTGTAAGACTAGAGAGTACATATCAAAAGTATCCATTTAAGTGGTAAATGACATTTTAAAAAATCATATAATCCTGTAAAACATAGCTCTTTAAAACCAAGTTATCAGGTAACCTTGTCAGAAACATCTTACTAAATATTTTTGAAAGAATATCAATTAGGCCTAAGCTTTCACTTTCTAATAAAATGTAAACTAAATATATCTTATTTGACTTTTAAACATTATTAAGGAACATTCTTAGGCTTCAGTATTATTCTTTCATAGTAAACTAAAATAATACAGAATTATTACCTAAGTATCTCTGACCAAATTATTAAATAGAACCATATGAAACTGTTGGTAGTCAACTATATTTTACCCACAAAAATGGCAACTTTATATGATTCAGCCTAAAATAATAGTGAGAAAGAAGATGAGAGTAAGTAAAGGAAAATCTAACACCAGAGGAAATGAAAATCTCATTAATTTTCTTCCTGTGACACTAACTTGATAGAAATGCCTCCATTAGTATACTGAGCTTGCCTCAATATATAAAATATAGCACTTGCCTCAAATTTCATACCTGGCAGATATAGCCACCAGAATTCACAGATGTCTTGGATAAGTGGAAATTTCATGATAATTAAGATATTGTAAATCTGATTATTCTCCAATTTATTACAAATAAAAATGCTTTTCATTTCTTTTTAAAATCATTCAATCATCTTGAATCCAAAGCCATATCAGGATCCTAAAAAATTTAGCCACGGATAGACAGTGGTGCGCTGGTAGTGGGTGTTTTGGTAAATGTTTGAGAACCAGCTCTCTGGTGAAAAAACTTGTGCATGTGTGTGTGTGTGTGTGTGTGTATGCAAGCGCAAATGGGTGTGAGTGGTAAATTTTACTGATTTAAAGATGTATAGCATACATACAAATAATAAATATACAATACTCTATTGTAAACTACACACAGCCAGTTGATTCTCATTCAATGCTTTTGTTGATTTTTACCAAACTCTTCTATCAGTAGCTGACTTATGGTTGCAACTGGCAAACAAGCATAGGCCCAACACCCATGTTGAACATCCATTATCATTTCAGCATATAAATTTTGGCTTCCAAAAGAGCATCCTTATAAAAAGAAATAGGAGAAAGATGATCAATTTCTCTCCACCACCTGAAGATAGAATGAGAAGGTGACCATCTACAAGCCAAAGTGGACCCTCACCAAGAACTGCATTTGTGGCTTCTTGATCTTGGATTTCCCAGCTTCCAGAACCATGAGAAATAAATGCTTGTTCTTTAAGTATTTATAGCAATCTTTGGTAACATATTATAGGAGCCCAAGCTAAGATGTCGGCTATAGATACTACATAGGTAAACTTAACCTGCATTATTAGCATTTTCTCTAACCCTTTTTAAAGCTGTAAATAACTGACAAAACATTATATCAAGTCCTGATTTGTAGTATTTGCTGATGTCTATGGTGTTTATACCACCATCAGGACTGACTGCAAGCTTCCAGTATAAAGTCCCTGAATGTGGATTTGGGAAGAGGTTAACAGCAACACACTATTTTATAGCGCAGCCTATAGCAAAATAAGTAGGAGATAATGCATTTTGAGTATTCGTTAACATTATTTTTAATATTAATATCTAATTGTATGTTTATGTAATCTAATTTTTAATAGTAGCTGTGTTTAACAAATAGTCCTCAGAATTCCTGGTAACAACTGGCCCTTGCAAGCATATAAGAGGTGGCACATGACCAGGGAATGAAAAAATTTCCAATTCTAGAGTAATTCCAAAGATTTCAGCCATTAACTGCACTGGTATTATTATAACTAAAGCTGGCAGCATTCTGAGTCTATTTTCTAGTCTGTGATAGAAAACCAAGGTGACAAGTTTATCTACATTTTTACATGGAGATATTAGAATCTATTCCAACTACCATAGATAAAAGATTCTGATTTATTAAAGTAGTAGAAAATGTTCTATACCTTATTTTATAATTTTATCCTAAGAACATTTCATAGTTGTTAAAGATATTAAGTATTTAAATCCTAACATATAAAGATAACTATATGTATAAACTTGCAAGTTAAGAACAAGTGCCTCTAGAAAATAAAAACTTTGCCATCTGATAGTTTATAATAAAGTATTTTGGAATCACCTGAAAGTCATTCTTATAGCATCTCTCAAGGCAAAACTTGCCTCTAGATATTTAAAAGGCCAAAACAACATGTTTTAAAGGCCTAGTCATATTCCATGCTTGAGGGTGTTAGCTGATCAGCTGACAAGTCTGAAAGAAAAAGAATCACCTGCACTTCCTGCTTGCCTTCTGCCAAGCATCTGTGGCATTTCACATGTGAGAAGCTGAGTGATGAAGGCAATTTCAACTTTTCTCTGAAGTACAAAGATCTACTGATAGGATAAAAGATTGAATGATGAGCAATATCAACTCATTAATTATATTTCATATACAAATACTCTCCCCTAAAGCACAAGATACTGCCACAAAGATCCAACTGTTCCTAATTTTCACTCTACCTACACGTCCAGGAAAATTAAGCTCATACCACACTAGTGGTGAAGGCACCCTTGCTCTGCCATACTCGTTCCTCCTCTCATTGCAAATAAAGCAACATTTGAAAACAATGCTTGCTTCTTTATACTACCACTGACTTCGTGGTAAAAAATAAATCTTCAAATCATAAAATTTCATTTTATGTGAGACAGAGGTTAATAAATAAGATACTAAAAAACAGACCTATAGTTTAAATGCCATCATTTTTAAAATATGACTTGTTCTTAAAATTATTTGTGACATCAGTTTCAACAGTTTATCACATAACATTTCCAGCCATTAAATTATTCAAAATGCAATTTAAAAAATAAATGAAATGGTAGATGCAGAGAAATCAAAACATTTCCTGTCAGCAGCAATATTCCAGATATGGTAGAACCATCAAATTGTCATAGGAATGTTCTAGACTAGATTCTTCCTTTTGTGAATGCTCATTTATAAAGAGCATTCTTATTTTAATTATTTATAACCTGTTGCACTTCAAAAAGAGAAACACAGCAGCAATTACATAAATATAAAAGTCACTCAACAGAATTGAACTTTTTATCTGATTCTGCTTACTTACTAAACACTCATTTAAAAAAACTATGTGAAATGATTCCAAAATATAGCACAGTTTGCTAATAGTAAGCTCTCTCCCAGAAAGCCATTAATTTTAATATTAAGTAAGAAACCTCAATTTCCAGAGGTAGAGTGAACTGAGTTAGAATTCAGTTTATACACTTCACTTAGCCCATCTTTTCTATGACAACATGTTTTATATTATTCTGAAAGTGCAGCTGAGAACAGCAAATTAAAAGTTCCCTTATCTACTCATTTCTCTTAACACCAAAAAGACTAGGGGTGGGAGGGAAGAGGCCTAGTTTGACCAGTCCAATGCTTAGCAAGTCTTTACACCTTAATTTTCCATACCCCATGAGAATAACTTCTCCCTTCTCAGCCTACACCCGATTATGAAATTTATTCAAAACAAAGACAATGATACAGAAGACAGACACTTTGCAAGAAATTCTGGTAAATGTAAAAGAGTACAAATAAAAAATAGTGCCTTTCCTATTGCTACATAATGGGGCTAATACCCTACCTGAATAATTATTCTCACATCTATCACATAGTAAAAGAGCAGACCGGTTGTTTAAGCAGTAAAAATAATATTGAACCTTATCTTGATGAATGACCGTTTATAGGCTGGACACCATCTCATATATCAAGCAAACACTTCACAATACGAGATTTCAGAGTACCTATCAAAGCTTAGTCTGCCCTCCTAATTCTGACAAACCACCATGTCAAAAGCATATTCCTTGATGTACTCACAGGCATGCTGATTCACTGGAAACATTCAGTTGTTTCATCACTGCCTCATTATCAAACCCTCTCAGTCAGTCAGAATATAGGTATACGGAGCAACCATGGTGTCGGCATTTGCAGCCTACAGTAACTGCTGAAATCTTTCCAACAGGACTGCAAATCTGCCCAGTTGGTTAAAACATGTCATTATGAAATGGTTGTGGCATATGAGTTGAGAAAAGAAGAAATAAGAAGAGGGATTTAAAAAAAAAGGTGACAAGAGGTGGAGTAAAGTGAGTAAGGCAGGTAAGAAAGAGCAGCAGCCAGGCGGCCCCTGCATTACCATTATCAGGGTTGGTAAACATCCTACTTGCACTGGAGACGGTCTTCCCAATGTCAGCCAGGGATCGAAGGTTGGACTTCTTGGTTTGATGCCGGTGCTTCCGGAGCAAAGTATAAGTCACCTTATCCTTAAGGTCAGGTTTCAATAGGCCTGTCTCAATCTGATGGTCAACAATCATCTCTGAAATAAAAACAAAGCAAAACCAAAAACAAAACTCAGTCACAAGACCACGAAGTTAAATTTTTTTAACTTATTTTTTTAATAAGTTATTTTTTAACTACATTTTTTAACTCTAATTTTATGGATGTTATCCTCAAATTTCATATCAATATATTATTTTTCTTTTTTTTATTTTATTTTATTTGTTTTCAATATATTATTTTTCAATTTCCAACTTCCCACTTTCTGTGAAGGTAAAGATACAGGGTATAGTTCTTTTGGCATTAAAGAGAGTTAGAAATATTTCAGTATTAATTAAATCTTTGGAGAAGAAGAACTGTCTTGTAAATTTTTTTCAATCCTGGTTGAGAGTGAATTCATATTAATCACATTCTTCTATGAGTAACACAATAAATAATTTACGCTTTCCAATTGTTTTGTTTAAAAGTAAGATTAGAAAATTTCATGTACTCTTTCATAGGAAGTGTGCCAAAAATATAAATGATATGAAAAAATCTTGAAGAGAATATATAAAATTTAGCATCATGTCATTATTGATTTTCTTAATCTATTCTCCCAAATCCTTCTGTAATTTCTTTATAATAGGACAAAGTAAAAAAAAAAGATAATACCTTTGCACATATCAGGTTATTTGAACACTAATTAATCCAGTGAAAGAAAGGTTAAAGTACAAAATTATACCTTAGTCTTTTCTAAGAAAGGAGGTTTATTCTTCTTGTTTAGATCCAACTAAAGCCTTTAGCACATGTTCTATTATTCATTTTAAAGTATAACCTGACCAGAATTTTCTAGAAAGTTTAATATCTTAGTTTTTCTCCAAAAAAAAAAAACCAAAAACCTAGAATTTCTACTAGCTTTAAACCACCTTCTCACACTATTTACAAAAATAAAGTCAAATGGGTTAAAGACATAAATGTAAGACCTGAAACCATAAAACTCATGGGAAAAACATAGGCAGGATACTCTCTGACATCAGTCTCAGCAATATTTATTTTAGACCTGTCTCCTCGGGCAAAGGCAACAAAAGCAAAAATAAACAAATGGAACTACATCAAAATAAAAAGCTTTTGCACAGTAAAAGAAACCATCAACAAAACAAAAAGACAACCTACTGAATGGGAAAAGATATTTGAAAATAATATATTTAATAGGGGTTAACATCTAAAGCTTGGAGAAAGAAATGGCAACCCACTCCAGTGTTCTTGCCTGGAGAATCCCAGGGACAGCGGAGCCTGGTGGGCTGCCATCTATGGGGTCGCACAGAGTCGGACACGACTGAAGCGACTTAGCTGCAGCAGCAGCAGCAACAACATTTAAAGTACTAAAGAACTCACATATCTCAATATAAAAAAAAAAGTTTAATTTTTAAATGGGCAGAAGATCAGAATAGACATTTTTCCAAGAAGACATATAGATGGCCAACAGACACCTGAAAAGGTATTCAACATCACTAATCATCAGGGGCATGCAAATCAAAACCACAAAGATATATCACACCTATCAGAACATTACTATCAAAAAGACAACAAATTAGCAAGCGTTAGTGAGGACGTGGCAAAAAGGGAACCCTAGTATACTGTTGGTGGGAATGTAAATTGGTGCAGCCAGTATAGAAAATGGTATGGAGGTTCCTCAAAAGATTAAAAATAGAACAATCACACAGCTCAGCAATTCCATTTCTAGACTCTTGGACAAAGAAAACAAAACACTAATTCAAAAAGATATAAGCACCCCTATATTCACTGCAGCATTATTTACAATAGCCAAGGTATGAAAGCAACCTAAGTGTGCATTGACAGATGAATGGACAAAGAAAATGTGATATATAACTTATATATATATATATATATATATATATATATACACACACACACATACATATATATAATGAAGTATTACTTAGCCATAAAAAAGGACTGAAATCTTGCCTTCTGTAACAATATGGATGGATCTAAATGGTATTACACTAGGTGGAATAAGTTAGACAGAAACACAAATACCAAATGATGTCATTTATGGAATCTACAAAATAGATTTCACTTGTGGAATCTACAAAGCAAAATGAACAAACAAAACAGAATACCAAAAGACACAGAGAAAATAGTGGTTGCCAGAGTGAGGGAGAGATGAAGGGGTAGGCGATGAAGATGAAAGGGATTAAGAGGTTTAAAATTCTGTTCTAAAATAAGTAAACCACATAATGTAATGACAGCACAGGGAATACCATCAATAATAATATGGTAGTAATTCTATATGGTGGCACATAGTTACTAGACTTTTCATGATTGTCAATTTAAAAACTATATAAATGCCAATTCATAATGTTGTACACCTGAGACCAATATAATATTGTATGCCAACTATGCTCCAATAAAAAATAATAAAATAAAATAATCTTAGAAAAATCTTTCCCCCAAATTCCTATTCACTCTTATGTTCCAGAATGGTTCTAACTAGAAAGGATGAATGTGCTTCACAGAAATTGCTCCATGGGTGTGTCTGCTGAAGGACATGTTTTACTCGAACAGAAAACAAGAAGTCCTCTTTCCCACAAATCAACATGTCAGCAGTAGGACATAAACGTAGCCTGGTGGCATCCTCCTGACATGTCACAATGCAGGTTGATACTCCTTTGTCCAAAACGGGGCACAGGAGAAACTGTCACAGAATCTGTATGAGATAGGCAGTGATGGGACAACACCTCATGTCTGCGGTTAGGGTTTGTGTCCCCAGCCAGAACAATGGGTCCCAGACTGATCTGTTCAGACACGTGGCTGCATCGAGCGCACGTCAATTAGTTTCCTCTTGCACAAACTTCTCTGTATACAAAAGTGGAGGAGAGAACAAAAGCTCTTCTTTTCCCAAAGTCTGACAAGAAAATTAATGGGTACTGATAGGATAACAGCATCTCCCAAACACTGCCATCTCTTTGCAAACAAAAGTTACAGATGTTCAAAGGGCTTTGCTTCAGCACGACTGTACCTCTCATGAGTCCATCTTTCTAACAAGAACTCACAGAACTGACCTCACTGTGAGAGCTGACAGTTCACACAGTGTACAGTCAACTGCCTGGGAGCCAAGGAGAGGCTGAATCCAGACTTTCCATCACATGCCTTACACAGATGCTGTCAATGTCACATATCACTGGACCACTTTGTAGACAGCCTGGGAAAGGCAGGAAGAGTTTCTACCATAGGAATGTTTTGGTTTGAGAGTGGCCTTTAGCTCTGAGTATTTTTAACTACACAACCCTTACTCAATAAAACTCTCAGAACAGATCCTGTAATTATAATTAACCTCTGTTCCATATTAAAATAATTAAGTGCTACTGAACACAAACCTCTCTCCTTTCCCTTGAAGTCTTAATCAAAGTGGAAAGTCCATTTTACAGAAGAACCATAAAAATAAACATACAGCCCTGGCATATCTACTGCAAGCATATCAAACTCCTACTCTAATTCCAGGGTTGTGGATTAAAGTGTTTCTTATCTACCCTTTCTTGGCAGGGCCTTCCCCTATTCTTGCCTTCCCCTGTAATCTCAAGCTAATCCATATATAATGCACAGCCAGCCCTCTGTTACTAATGTCTGGAAATCACAGGTTAGAACACATTAAAACATCTGTGTAGCTTATGCCCTTTATTAACTTTCCATAAAAATGGCCCACATTACAGGGGTCTCTTAAGCATAAACTACAAAACCTTTCAAGGAAAGTAGAGGCGGTTAACATTTCACAGTTACACTGAAATTAAGCCTTCAATATTTGAAATCCCACAAACACTACAAATAGGGAGAGAAAGCGCCTGCTCAAAATGCTCCCAGAGGTGAAAGAAAATTCAAAAAGCATCAGGTTCAAACTCTTAAACAGATGGAAAAAAGCACAAGAGAAGAGACACTCACAGACACAGTCTTAGTAGGGCAATGCACCCCCCACCCTGCCGCAAAATTAAACCAAGTTTTCTCATCCACAGTTTAGATCTTTTTCCATATCACACAACACTTTTCTTTCTTTTAAAAGGAAACTCTAGACCAAAGGAAAAAAAAATGAAGAGAAAGATGGTCATGCACCCCCCCAAAAAAGATTAAGGGTAACATTCTTTTAAAAGCACACAATGGCCCAAGAAATATACAGTTTCAAGACTAACAGACAACTCAGATTTACACAAATGTAAAACTAAGATCATGGCATCTGGTCCCATCACTTCATGGGAAATAGATGGGGAAACAGTGGAAACAGTGACAGATTTTATTTTGGGAGGTTCCAAAATCACTGCAGATGGTGATAGCAGCCATGAAATTAAAAGACGCTTACTCCTTGGAAGGAAAGTTATGACCAACTGGATAGCATATCAAAAAGCAGAAATATTACTTTGCCAACAAAGGTCCGTCTAGTCAAGGCTATGGTTTCTCCAGTGGTCATGTATGGATGTGAGAGTTGGACTGTGAAGAAAGCTGAGTGCCAAAGAATTGATACTTTTGAACTGTGGTGTTGGAGAAGACTCTCGAGAGTCCCTTGGACTGCAAGGAGATCCAACCAGTCCATCCTAAAGGAGATCAGTCCTGGGTGTTCATTGGAAGGACTGATGCTGAGGCTAAAACTCCAATACTTTGGCCACCTGATGCGAAGAGTTGACTCATTGGAAAAGACCCTGACACTGGGAGGGATTGGGGGCAGGAGGAGAAGGGGACGACAGAGGATGAGATGGCTGGATGGCATCATCGACTCGATACACATGAATTTAGGTGGACTCCGAGAGTTGGTGATGGACAGGGAGGCCTGGCGTGCTGCGATTCATGGGGTCGCAAAGAGTCAGGCATGACTGAGCAACTGAACTGCACTGACTGAACCCATTTTATGTTAATCTATCCAGTTGGCAGAATTTAAAAGACCAGTCTCCAGCGATGTGAATGTCTTATGTAATAGACAGTGTCAATGATGACAGTAACAACCAGGACAAGCTTTCCTGAAGGCTACTTGGCCAATACAAAACAAAACCCTTTATAATGTTCAAACCCTTTGAATATTTCACCATTAGAAACCTATAATTAGGAAATAAGCCAATTTCACAAAAGAATAACAAAAATGTTCATTTCTTGTCTTTATGATAAAAACTTGATGGCAACTTAAAAGCCCAATTATAGATTATTAACTAGTTTGCAGCTATTAAAATGTTTATGTTTAATAACATGGAAATATTCATACTATGTTTTTCAGTTAGGAAGGGCAGATTAGAGGGTTACAGTATGATTTCAGCTCTAAAATAAATCTCATATGTGTAAACAGAGATGTACCCAAAAACTGTTGAGAAAATATCTCTAAGATAAGATTAGTGGTATTTTGACTTTCATGTGCTACATTTTTCTGCACTACTAAAAATGAACATATTTTACTTTTGTGATGAAAAATAAGTATATTACCATTTTGAAAATATAAAAGGTGTTAAAAGCAAGAAACAACATGACTAATATATCTGCCAACATGCACAACTCAGGAATGCCTTTAAATATAAAACTGAGAGCTCCAAAAATAGAACTACATTTTCCTAATCCATTTCCCATCATAATACCTGAAATGGCTTATAATTTTTTTTTAACTTAGGAGGGGAGGAAAATTCCCATGTACTTGACTTCATATGTGAATAACGTTCTTTAAGTGTAAAATTATAATATGATTGCAATAATGAAACTATCAAAATAACCTATACAATGACATTTTATCCCTTAAATAAGACAAATTTTCTATCAGCGTTTAGAAGGGGATCTTCATGAAGAAAAGTAGGTCCTGGGAAGAATCAGAATGAGGCTGAATTTTGTACACAAGTGTGAGAAGTGACATAGCTTCAGCCCTTGCTTGTGGCCTCACATGGTGGTGACTTTGCACCTACAAAGGGACAAAGTCGCCCTTGGAGGCGACTGAGAAGGAGCAGCAGATAGACTGCAAAAAAGGATTAAAATCATGCAGCCATTTGTTTCACATTATTACACTTGCTATGATTTCTTTTTCTTCTCTTTTGTGGAAATAAAAGTGGGGTGAAGAGATGTATCTTAAGACTTAGCTGCACGTAATTCTCAACTCTGAATAACAGCACCATTCAGGAGACAATAAATCCACTGCATCCTCTGCTAGAAAAAGACTTTTTAATAATCAAATAATGGCAGTAACTCAAGGTACCTCGCCAATTTTTATCACTTGAAACCATGGCAGTTTTTTTCTTTCATGTTGTTTAATCTTCTCTAAAGCTTTGATTCTTTCAGAAGATTTTTAAGTATTTCTTTCAGTCACTGACACTCTCTCAAACAGGCTTTTTTCTCTACTCCTCCAAATCTGGTCCATTTTTTTTCTTTCTTTTCCTTGTAAAGTATGTTATTTGCCTCTGAATTGTTTTTCTGTGTTATCGGCTCCAGAATGACAGCGCTGTCTCTCTGCCCACTTGCCTCAGGGGTGGTACAGCAAACATAATACTACGTGATGACACCTCAAAGTGACCTGGTGGTATCCAGTTTTAAAACTGAATGGCAGTATTAAAGCAAACATGTGGAGGTTAGAGAAAAAAAGCCACAACTGATAAATAAAAAGTAATGGAAAATTAAAGTGAGACTGTAAACTGCTTGATGAACCTTTCCTGGTGGTGATTTAGTGGCTAAGTCATGTCTAAGTCTTAGACCCATGGACTATATAGCCTGCCGGGCTCCTCTGTCCATGGTATTTCCTAGGCAAGAATACTGGAGTGGTTTGCCACTTCCTTCTTCAGGGTATCTTCCCAATTCAAGGATCAAACCCAGGGTCTCCTGCACTGCAGGCAAATTCTTTACCGACTATGCTACCTAAGGGTACTAAATACCAGAAACTTTCTCTTTGGATATTGGTTAATGAGGCTCCAGTATCCTGTGAGACTTGGTCTTCTACCATATGGAAAGGGTCAGCAAATTACTGAAGACCAGAAACTCTGTAAGATGGCTGTTTTCAGGTTCTGAAGATCTCGAAGACAGTTTAATAAAAAAGCGCAAGTATATAATTTGACTTTAACACACATCACCCTTGTTGATCACCTTCAGGCAGAGCAAAGAAGTATGAGATTATTTCTAGCTCTATCCACTATACCTTTCAGAATCTTTTCTCCTGTTTGTGAAGTCTCTGAGCATCTCTTGACCTGACTCAGTCTATGCTCAGGTCTTGCTAAGTAAACTTTATCCTGGAATAGTCATGGAAGTAAGAACAATTACACCTGAGATCCTCATTCATTTCTATCAAAAACCCTGAGAGGTCTACCTTTACCCACCTTCCATGGATGAGATACAGAGAATGACAAAGAATTAAGTAATGAGCCTTGTCCATGGTCATGCATGCTACAAGAGGGAGACCCTAATTAACCACTCCCCAACTTTAAATCCACCATTCTCTCCATGATACCACTCTGCATGTCATGGAATGAATACATACCTCTTCCAGAGAATAGGCATTTTTTAATAGAGAAGAAACCCTGGGTTCAGTGAAATGAATCTCCCAATAGTGGAATTATAGGAAGTAATCATGGTCTAAGGTAGGACTTTTTTATTCAATACAGGAAACCTCAATGACCCTTAAACCACAACATATATTCTCCCCCTAGATTGCTGATCCATTGCCCAGTCACAAGTTTAATTCCATTTGGCTCTGCCTTTAGGCATTTCTAAATTCAGATATCTTTGCTCCAGATTAGTTCTTAAAACCTGAAAATACAGAAATTGTGATTCTCACTCAAAAATTGGATTGCTTTTCATTAACCATGATACATTTTTAGATAACAATCTCACGTGCAGCTCTTAACAAAAGGAAATAAGTCAGTGAAACAAATAACCTGGAAAACTATTCCCTTCCTTTGCTTCTCTCCGTCGCTGCAGATCTTCCCTGGATACAATAATCCAACATCTCTTCTCACATATCAAAGGTCCATTTTCAGTTTCACCTGCTTTGTCAACTATGAAAAACTCTGTAGAAAGCAGTATTTCCTACATCATCTTCTCACTACTTACTTATGTGAACATGGATTTGAAACATATTCCATTTACAAAGTGGTAGATTTACAAACCTAATTCCAGGGCCCAGAATAGTGTCTGGTACATGGTAGAAGGCCATGCACCACTGCTGAATAAATGCATAAACTACCTCATTCTATTCACCGAGCATCTTCACATTAGACTTCCTCCCTTCTCCACTTGCACCATAAGCACTTCAGCTACAAGTCAAATGTAGAGCTTCCTTGTAAATCTAACAAGCCCTCTGAAGAGGACATAGATATGTGTAGATCAGCAAGATATATACCCAATTTGAGAACTAATCTTCTTGTCTAATACACATGCTATAGACTTCCTGCTGTCTATAAAGACAGATGCCACAGACAAACCTTTGCCTTCTGATATTCAAAGAAATTTTGAGATTACACAAGAATTTTACACTGGTCAGGGGGGCCATGATCCACATCCTCTTCCCACAGTCCCAGAGTAAGCACACTGCAGGCCCCTTAAAAAAGTGCAGTCATCCCTACAGGGGCAGAGGTCACCAAGTTATGGAATTTTTCTTGGAATAACAAGCAGAGCCCCTACACCTCTCCTTAAGGAAAACATGGTCTTGAGCACATCAATCTGAACATCAATCTGAACGATAAGGCAGCTTAGGCCAGGTGCTTGCTAGAAAATGAAAACTACTACTCTCTGGCATGCAGCAATGCGTGCACAAGGTGTTTGACATGATAAGTTAACATTCAGGACTCAACACCACACAGCACTAATCACAAAGATGCCAAAGTTGCCCTGCACCATGAGGCCAGTGCCTTGCCGGGGGTTCTACAAATGATCCTCGGCAGCAACGAAACCCAACCCATTCACTAATCAATCAGGTTCCATGGGCTTCTTGGCCCAAACAATTTTCTCTACATACAGCTAAAGAAGCTTGACTGTCACCTACAAAATCAACCCAACTGAGGGAATAGACATAGACCAGCTTCCTTTTTACAGAGGATTTAAACCCTATTTTACAGATGACAAACCTGAGGCACAGAGAAGCTCAACACAATGCCTAAGATCAAGAAGCTCTAGAAATATAGTGTGCAGACTTCCAGTCCACTATAGCAAAGGATATGGGGGGGGAGTTCTATTTAAAAACCTCAATCTATGTTAATATCTGAAGGAATGCAATCTCTACAAGCAAACATGGTACCAATTATAATTTTAAAAATAACATAAAAGTGAAAAGCATAAGAGAGAGGACTTAGAAATAAAACTGGATGGAAATATGCCAAAATATTAACAACAGCTATGTTCAGATGGAAGTACAATGGATGATTTTTAAAAATTTTGTTCTCAGTATTTGTCTGTACTTTCCAAATTTTCTGCAATAAACCTTAAGAGAAAGAGAGACTTCCCTGGTGGTCCAGTGGTTAAGAATCTGCCTTCCAGTGCAGGGGATGAATGTTGGATTCGTGTTTGGGGAACTAAGATCCTACATGTCACAGGGCAACTATGCCCACTTGCTACAACTACTAAACACAGGCACTTCAACTAAAAACCCGCATTCGGCAACTAGAGAAAAGCCTGTGCACCTCAATGAAAGATCCCATGGGCTGAAATGAAGATCACAAGTACTACAACTAAGACCTGATGCAGCCAAAAATAAATAGGCAATATTTTTTAAATAATAATAAAAATTAAAAGGAGAGAGAGATTAAATGCTATAGAATATTCAGCTCTGCTTACACCCAGAAGTCATCTGCACTGAGAAAGATTCATGAAGAGGCAGATAGAGCAGAAAAAATGCTAAGAACTTAAGACAACATACTTACCCACCAACTGTGGGAGAGACGAAGCTTCCCTGTCCAGCATGATGGATCCTTTCTCCATACAGGTCCTCAGCTCAAATAAGCTGTGAAGGGACAAGGTGGCCACGTGGGGCTTGCTCCATCTCTCTCCACCCTGTTCCACTTTTTCTTCAAACTTAATCCACCTAGAAACATGAGATTCAAGTAAAGAGCAATTAAAAATGTTCTCATCACCTCTGGAAATAGCAACACCAACCTCTCCAGTTCCACCCCCACCAGCACTTTCAAAATGTCTCCTTTTGTGGAGTCTTAAAAGCTTATTCTATCATTAACTGAATTACCTTTATAAATACACCAAACAGACTCACCAGACTGCTCCTCTCCCTGACGTTAGAGAGAAAGAAAACAAACCAATGCATCCTTGGCTTTATATCTATCTACATGTAACCATGAAATCTTTAAGAATGATTACTGAACCAATTTTTTTTAAATAATGTAGGAAAATATGCATTTCAAATTCTCATGGGGGTAGAGCCTACAGTGTGTAAAAATATCACTATTGTGAGAATTCTGTTGTAACTTCACAAGGCAAGTTTATACAAGGTGACATAATCAGTTATGAACCAATTACAAATATTTAAAAATATGGTGTGCAAAATGGTCAGACAAACATAAAGTTCCCCTTTCATGCTTAAAGAGGGCCAGCATGTGCTGCTATATCTTACATTAATAACTCTCTCTAGGTTGAGACAAGTTCCCCTCTGATCAAGACGCTAACAAGCTTTTACCCCTTGAGCTTGGCTCCACATGTGTTTAAAAATATACAAGCTCAGTAAACAATGCATTTACTCTGATAATAACAGATCTCTTATTAACTCTAGTAATGGAACAAATAACCCTATTTTATAGTTTCTTCTTTCCAAGATTTATAGACATGTTGATAACTTAGCAACATATAGGACTGAAAAAAGTTTAATGGAAATGAGAGCAAAACACATTTGAGAGTCTTTATATCCCACATATTATATATACTGACTCTTCCTACACTGGTAAAGGAAAACAGGAAAGCATCATGATTTTGCTATTCATGACCAGAGAAAATGTTGCTTTCTATCACTTCAAAACTCTGAAAGATATTGGACAAGATAAAGAAGGGATTAAAAATTCTTTTCCTACACTCTTCATCCAAAAGTTTAATGATTGAAAAATGTTTTCCTAGGAAAAGCTAAACACTCATCCAACTCACTGAAGATGAGAACAAAGGGCAGAGATCAGGGGAAGCTCTACATAAGGTATTATTTATAGACTGCTCACCACTCCCAAGGGGAATAAAAGAACACATTATTAGAATCATGAGTGAAAACAGGTCAACAGATCAGCCACAATGTCAAGGAAAATTCAGAATTTTAATCAAGCCCAACACTCATGTGATTCATGAATATATTAGCTACATTCTGAATTTCCTCTTTCCTCTCCCACCCAGAAAGTTCTCACACTTCATTGCCAACCTTATCCCCAACCTCACCCTCCACCCTAAGACCCTCCTCCTTCCCCCAGTATCCCCAAAAGTGTAAGGAGTGAAGGTTTTCACATGTTTTCCCTCACATTAAAAAACCAACACCAAAAAAGTTCTAAAACTTAAGATCTGGACCTTGTTTATTCTACAAAAGTGGCTTTGAAACATTCTGAAAGACCTTTAATATTCTTATGTGTGTGTGTGTGTGTGTGTGTGTGTGTGTGTGTGTGTGCATGCATGCGCGCACAGGCGCACATATGCGTGCATGCAAGTGTGTGTGTTAATTAGTAGTTCTTCACCTTTGTTGGTATTAGAACCAGAAAAGTAGATGGAAATGAGAGAAAAATGACAACTTCACATCACAATCTTATAGAATTCTATGAATTTGCCCAGAGGATAAAAGGTAATTGGATTATTTTGAAAGTAATCATGTTACAGTGTATATTACATTGGCTAACTTCAGGCATATTATCTTTTCAGACTTACAGAATCTCTAACATGTTGACTGGTGACCAGTATGTGAATCATATTTCTATTTGATATTATAATTTATCGCTCAAGATGAGACTCTAGAAGATTCCATTGGATATGAAACCTAGTCAGAATACATAATTATGTTATCCATAAGGATGGTAGTAGTGGTCTTGCTTTTATTTCTAAGAGTATTCTTATTATCTGAGGGATAGAATCTTTGGTCACAGAATTTAAGTCCAATATAAATAACAAGGGCCAGCTAGAAAGTCAGTCAATGGGAGTATTCTATACATTCAGCCTTTACTTCCCTCTTATTTCCTCTGAATGATGACCACTTGCTCTTCGTTCAGTTGCCATGAGTCCTTATAGCCAAATGCATTTTGTAAAAGAAAACTAAGCCTCACTTACATACAGTATATGACAAGAGCTCTTTCTGCCATGATCTTCAATTGTCCAAACAATATAAGTTTGACAAAATCTTCTTTTTTAAAAAAGGAATAAAACCATTGCATTCTTTTGTGACCAATTACTCTCCATAGTTCATCTTAAATATGACTTTGAATGAGTTTCAGAAGCATATTTAGAAATAATCCCAAACTGCTTGGATTTAGAAAACAGTATTATTCAACCTCCTGAATTATATCAGTTAAGATTTGGTCAAGATTTAACCATAATGAAATGGGAATGTCAAGTCTCAAAACTAGCCAGTTCCTTAAAATATACGAAAGACAATTATTGTCTCAAAGTTCAGTTTAAGTATCTATTTCACTTTGAGTTCAGTAAATATTATATGTTGTGATGATGTCATATCATAGTATAGCAAATAGCACAAGGTAATTCTGGGATAATGACTATTAAATTTCTTTAAAATACACTGCTTGACAAGGTGAAAAGACAGCCTTCAGAATGGGAGAAAATAATAGCAAACGAAACAACTGACAAAGAATTAACTTCAAAAATATACAAGCAACTCCTACAGCTCAATTCCAGAAAAATAAATGACCCAATCAAAAAACGGGCCAAAGAACTAAACAGACATTTCTCCAAAGAAGACATACAGATGGCTAACAAACATATGAAAAGATGCTCAACATCACTCATTATCAGAGAAATGCAAATCAAAACCACAATGAGGTACCATTTCACACCAGTCAGAATGGCTGCTATCCGAAGTCCACAAGTAATAAATGCTGGAGAGGGTGTGGAGAAAAGGGAACCCTCTTACACTGTTGGTGGGAATGCAAACTAGTACAGCCGTTACGGAGAACAGTGTGGAGATTCCTTAAAAAAACTGGAAATAGAACTGCCATATGACCCAGAAATCCCACTGCTGGGCATACACACCAAGGAAACCAGATCTGAAGGAGACACATGGACCCCAATGTTCATCGCAGCACTGTTTATAATAGCCAGGACATGGAAGCAACCTAGATGACCATCAGCAGACGAATGGATAAGAAAGTTGTGGTACATATACACAGTGGAATATTACTCAGCCATTAAAAAGAATACATTTGAACCAGTTCTAATGAGATGGATGAAACTGGAGCCTATTATAGAGAGTAAAGTAAGCCAGAAAGAAAAACACCAATACAGTACACTAACGCATATATATGGAATTTAGAAAGATGGTTATGATAACCCTATATGCGAGACAGCAAAAGAGACACAGATGTATAGAAAAGTCTTTTGGACTCTGTGGGAGAGGACAAGAGTGGGATGATCTGAGAGAACAGCATCGAAACATGTATATTATCAAGTGTGAAACAGATCGCCAGTCCAGGTTGGATGCATGAGACAAGTGCTCGGGGCTGGTGCACTGGGATGACCCAGAGAGATGGGATGGGGAGGGAGGTGGGAGGGGGGTTCAGGATGGGGAACACATGTACATCCGTGGTGGATCCACGTCAATGTATGGCAAAACCACTACAATATTGTAAAGTAATTAGCCTCCAATTAAAATAAATAAATTTATATTTTTTAAAAAAACACATTGCTTGAGGGACTTCCTGGTGGTCCAGTGGTTAAGAATCTGCCTTGCCATGCAGGGAACACAGGTTTAATCCCTGGTCTGGGAACTAAGATTCCACGTGCTGAGGGGCAACTAAACCCACATACCACAACTATTGAGCACACACGCCACAATTAGAGAGTCTGTGCGCCACAGTGAAAGACCCCGTGTACCGGAACTAAGACCCGATGCAGCCAACCAATGAATGAATGAATTTTTTAGAATACACTGCTTGAATTGTTCAAGGAACTGTACTTCAAACATGCAGGCATAATGTAATGGTTTGCCCATTTAAACAGACTGCAGGTAGTTTCATTACAAAAACTATACATGATATGTCTATCTTCCTCACATATCAAGGACAAATCTGAGAAAAAACTGAAAATGACTCAGTTCAAATCAGAACCCATTAAAGAAAAGGCTAAGGCAAAGGTACCGAAGTTCAGCCTATTCATGCGTCAATGAATTTGTAAAGGTGCTTTAGAACCATGTAATTACAGTTCTAAAGACCAGACATTTTTACTGTAAAATGTACTAAAAGCTACTATCTAACCCTTCATAATAACTATGAATAACCATATATTTGCAATAAGTTCCCTACTTATCCTTTTGTCTTAGTTACTTGACATGTTGTAGAAAAATTAATTTTAGAAGTTGGCTTTTTAAATGCTGGCAATCACAAAACTGTTATAACCTTGAAGAAAGAGTTTATTAGGTGAATTTTATTTTTTCCAAGGTCTTATAAGAATAATGATAAAGTACACTGCAGTTTAACACACTTTGAGTGACTGCCAACCAAACAGTATTTCACTAGTTTGTTGAAGAAATAGAAGGCCCACGGGAAACACTGAACATTTTGCAACTTTCCAATCATGTGATTAAATATAATTAAGAAAAGAGAAGACCTCTAACTTAAAAACATGCCAGTTTTACAGTGGAAAATAGACATGACCTTTGCCCTAGAATATAATCCAACTACATAAAGCTATTAAAACAATAATAAATTTCTTGAAAAAAACCAGTTCTTGTTAACTAATAAATGTCTCATTGCACATAAAAGATGCCAATGCTAGTGTGAATCTGGGATAAATGATGTTTTTAAGGTGAATTCTTAAATTTCTAGATCAACTGCAAAAGTTATTGCAAAACAGTGTAGTAACCACATATAATTACATAGATGAGTA